GGAATAAGTGTCTGTCCGTCCAGGCAGCGACAGCATGCCATGTTCTCGTGGGCAAGCTAGTTACTGACTGCTATAGCGGTTGGTTGGTTGTGTGTTTAGAGATGATAATTTTCCTGGCTCACTGGAGACAGCATTACGGTCTATGTGCAGTATTACTTAGCTATTCCAGCTCCAGCTTGTGGGTGATCTGGGCACAATGATGCTTTCTTAGCTGCAAGATCTCTGATCTACGTGCACAGCAGGGTTGAGGTGGGCAAGGTCTCTGGACTGGAAGGTCTCTGGATTAGAAGGTCTCTGGTCCAACCTCTTCTCAGAGGGCCAACATCAAAGCTAAAGCAAGTTGCTCAGGTGAGCTTTGAACATCTCCAAGGATGGAGGTAGCTGGCCTCATTCTCTCACTCGAAAAAAAAAGAAAATAAAGCAGTGTTAAAAAGGCATGACTACAGTTCTGAAAGAGAGCTAAGAGATGCGTTGCACAGCAATGAAAACCACCTTTAGCCATGCTGAATCTGAGCAGCAGTAGGAAGTGAGTGCTGGACTTAACACATCTCTGCTCCTGGAGATCTGGCCCTGTCAAGAAGTGCCCTGGAGAATGTCCCCTGTCCCCCTGCATGTCCTGTCTGGATCTCTCTGGAGCTGATTGCTGATGCCCTGGAAACAGCAAGCTCCCTTGGTCCTTGCAGTGCTGGTCGCTTTTCTGAGTCATGAGAGGGGTTTCTGCCATTTCATGTAACTAAGCAGTACAGTGTAGATTGGGAATGGCAGGATTTTTGTGAGTATATCGAGGATTTCCACTGGTGTGCCGTGACTATGCAGATATTCAGGTTTGAAATGAATGCAAAGGTCCATGTAGGTTGTCACCAGTCATTCCTGGTGCCATCCGATCCCACAAGAGAGAAAAGGCTAGTGGAGATAGGAGAGTTGGGAGTCCCAGCTCCTTACACCTCTGCCCAGTGCTAAGCCCATCTTCTCATGTGGCCTTCGAAAAAAAAATACTTGTAGAGGAATATTCCCCTGTTGGTCTCTGTTCTGCTCATGTCACCCTGTGCTAGACTGTGCTAGCTCATTACATATGTACCTGTCCCTGCACATGCATGAGATTGCTCACAGGGTGCTTTCCCCAGCTGGCATTTTTCTCTAAGCATTAGCTCTCTTCTTGCCCTGCCTTTGCCATTGTACAAAGCCAGTTTGCTTGCCCATTGACAGGGGACATTCATCCCTGTCCTGCTAGTGCCATGTCCCTGCTGGGGTCACTTGCCGGCAGCCATGTGGGTGCTCTCTCTTGCCCTTTCCAGAGGTGTGCCCAGAAAACACAGGTGGGCTGGCATGCTTGTGCCAAGTGCGCATCACCTCCTAAGAGCAGCTATTTGCTGTCCATGGCACTGAGTTGGCATTAGCAATTACATTGCTCTCCCTGGCACATGGGATACTGCAAATGCCGAAAGCTTACCCAAGCTCAAAGGCAAATGGGAGAAATCTGCAGAGCATAGCTAAATACATAGAAACCTGGTCTGGCTAGGAAACCCCTGAGACACAAATATCTGGGGGCTGGGAGAGCATCAGTTGGAAATACTGTCTATATGCCCATCCTGCTCTTATATCCTCCCATTCCAAGGTGCTCTTGTCAGTTGTCAGAAGAAGAGGCTGGGCTGGATGGCCATTGAGTCCGATTGGGTACAGCAGTTCTTCCCTTGGTGCGCCATCCTTAGAGCATCACCAGCCAAGAGGACTTTTCCATGGGCTATTTTAACTAAGGGTTGTGGGGGAATGCTCTGTTAAGACCTTTACAGTTCAAATGAAATAACATGGTTTGAAACGAATACTAAATCCTGATGGAGAGCATTGGGCTTGGAGCAAGGGCAGAGATTTGTATGCCGTGTTCACGAAGATATCACCCGTCTCTTGTTGCTGCTGGGCGTCAGCAAGAGGAGAAGAGCTGGAGCTGCAATTCTGCAAGATTTGTTTTATTCTTTGGTTTCTGGTACATGGAAATGAGATGAAACTCATTCCCTCAGCAATTGCCTTGGCTACAGACTCGGGGAAGAGCACTTTCTGGTACAGAAATGCAGACAGTTGGATGCACCATGGATGCCCTCAGCCTTCATGCCAGAGCAGGGCTCTTTAGCTCAGGTGAAATGGACTCAACACTTTGCAGAAGGCAAAAGGCAGTGCGATGGAGATCAGGCATGCTCTAAGAGCAGCCTGTCTTATTTTCACATACTTGCTGTTTCTCAAACAGATGTGAACTCAAACACCATTAGGAGAAAATCCTTTTCTCTGGGATTGCAGTCTCATCCCAGGGACAAATTTGCCTCAGCAATTCTTGCTGATTGGAGATTCATTGAGAGAGCGGACTTGCCATTTGTTCCTCCCACCCTTTTCCCAACAACCTTGTACAGCAGAAACAGCAGCAGTGCACATGTCTACCCAACACAGAGCACTTGCTCACACCCTAGAAAGATCACTTGGAAAACTGCATAATAGCAGCACCTGCTGGCAGTGGCACTTTAAGCCCCAAGGCCGCATTATTCAGGGAAGTCCTATTGGTGTTGGGTCTAAGCATCAGGAATAGCTTTTTTAATTGGCACCCAGGTTTCTTTTTGTGAGAGACAATTATTGTGGGGGGCTTTGAGGAATGCCACACACGGCAAGCCAGAGCACACCCATTGGAAGTTTACATCCTTATACCCCTGCTGCCCTCAGAATTGATGAAGGCAGCTTTTAAAATTAACTTTCCTGAGAAAGGCTTTTTTTTCATACATGGGGGCAGGGTGCAGTGTACATTTTAATGGGAGTTGTCAGGAAAATTATTGATTTTGTTAGTAATGTTTTTGGAATTGTGCCATTCTGTTAATTCTGTCAGGTCCTCTTTGATAGCTTGGCTGAGAGTATTTTTGCATCCTTCATTAGTTTTTTAATACACGATAATTTCCCCTAACTCATCAATGCAAAGCAAGATCAGCTGCGTGCTTGGTAACCATTTTTCCTATGTACAAACCTATTGCAGCAATAATTATAAACAGAACAAATTATTACAGATATTCATTATCAAATACAATTACACTGAGCCATGTTGCATTGTTACACTTTTCACAGCCATCGCTTGCTCTTGAGTAAATGGTTTCATTATAAGCATGAAGGGCAAACTTAATACACTTCTGACTCATAGCAAACAGCACAAGAAATTATCCTGGCTGTTCCTCCAAGCACTTGGCGGTGTTTGCTCTGAATGAGAATAAAATGTCGACTCTGCTGCCAAAAACTTGTCAGCTTAACAGAGGGGTTCTGGGTGGCAGCACAGACACGCAAGGAGGGGAGAAAGCCAGAAATTACGGCAGCGTGGCCTGAATTTCGCTCCCCTAGAGTGTGGCTTTCTTCCATGTTTATGGGTTTTCAGTGCTGGGACCTGCCAGGAACCTGCCAGGAATGATCCTCCTTGATGATATATTAGAGCAGCCTCTGGGCTGCTCTGACTTGTGCTGGCTGCCCATGGAAAGCACAGAGCAGCCGGGGATGGGACAAGAGGCATTTCTTCAAAGGACGGGACAGACAGGCTTGGGCAGGGGGAGAGCAACTGGGAAGCTTGTTTAAGCAAGAGCATTCACAGGAGGGCAGTGCCATCAAGCATGGGGAAAAAGCAAACCCAGCCAGGAGGTTGGCAGCAAGCAGAGGGCTGCAGACAGTCACTGCATTGCCTTTTTATTTCTTGTTGTTATTGCCTTCTTATTTCTTGTCTGGGACAAGGTCAGAGCCAGGAGGATGTCCTGTCCCGGCAGCAATGCCACGCGTGCATGACAGTGAGCAGGGCGCTCCGGGTGGGAGCAGGGGCTGCTGGATTTCTACACCCCATCTTGTCTTTGCAAGGACTTTGCACTGTAGGAAAGACCACAGTAGTCCCCCCTCTATGCACTAGCCCCTTGTACCCCAGGGGTTTGGTCACCTTCTGGTGAGCAACTTTCGGCTGGGTGTTTCTGGGCTACTTGCATGAATCCCTGAAAAGAGCTGAAAAACTTCTTCCATGCTAATTTTTTCCCTTGGTAAAGCAATTCATTCACTCAATTTTCACTCTATTGGGTGCCCCAAGGAGCAAATCTCTCTGCTGGTGGCCACAGCCTCCTGTGAGGCTTTCACCCTTTGTGGTGTGTGCTTTGTGGCTGTGCTCTGAGCAGGAGCTCTGCCGTCGGACCTGCCCTGCTGATGCCGTAGGGGCAAATTCAGCAACCCCCAGCCATGTAAGAAGAGAGACTTGCTGCACAACTCTCAAACAGGAGAGAACCAAACCTTCGGGGCTTGGGGAAGGATGTGCTGCTTGCAAAGGAAACGAAAAAGTCAAATCTCACTGTCAGTGAAGCTTTCTTTCACCCTGTCCTAACCAGAAAGACTGTCTTTCCCTTATGTTCCCTCCACAGAAAAAGTCCAGTATCCCTTTCAAGCTTGTAAATTGGAGCCTCCAAAGCCCAAACTGAGCAGCTGATCATGACGTAGTGCATGGATCTGCTGTGCCCGGTGAGACAGAGCCTCTTCCGTGCGCAGGGGCTGGTTTAAGCAGTGCATTGTGCTTTCAGGGGCATGGTCTGTGCTGGTTCCCAGTGCTCGTGCCCCTGGGAGCCTATGCAGTGTGTGCAAGCTGTCAAGGGGCTGTTCTGCACCCTGGATTTTTTGGAAAGGGACGTGCCCCCGGGCCAAGGCAACTCTGGGGGAGGCTAGTCCAGGCTGCGTCATGTCCAGCTGTGGCTTCTGGCCATGCTGGGGAGGATGGCACCCTGCGAGCTGCTGGTGCTCTGACCCTGTGGTCTGTGCTCATCCTGAGGCAAGCTCGGCCCATCAGCTCCTGCCCTTTGCTTTCAGCTGTGCTGCCCCTCCAGCCTGTGCTACCAAACCCACTGTTTTCTGTCTGCAGCCCCCTTCTCCTGCCATTTCCACCCTCCTCCCCCTGTCCCTGTCTCCCCTCCTCCCTATTCCCCCCTTATTCTTGAATCTCTATTTCTTCTCTGTTCCAGCAAAACGATATCAATCAAGGTGATAGATGATGAGGAGTATGAGAAAAACAAGACCTTCTACTTAGAGATCGGGGAGCCCCAGCTGGTGGAGATGAGTGAGAAGAAAGGTGGGGGACGTGCTCCGGGGCTGAGCCCAGCCTGTGTGTCCCTGTCTGGCTCACTCATGCCTGGCACCTGCAACACCGAGCTCACATCCCCAACGCCTATGGAAAAGGGCAGGAGCGAGGACACTTCCCATCCCCCCTGAACTGAGCCTTTCCCCAGCCCACCAAGGTCCGACCCCGGCCAGGTGGTGGGGATGCTCCTGCCCTTCCCCATATGCCCCAGGGGGGATGTACAGCCGCTTCCCCCCACCCAACCATCTCCGGCACCACGGCACCCGGGCAGACGTGAACTGCATGCGTGTGTGACACCAATCATGTGTTTGCCTTTGTCTTGTGTTCCCACAGGAAATTCATTACCCTTAGAGTACTTGACCGTGAGGAATATGAGAAAGAGTGCAGTTTCTTCCTTGTGCTTGGGGACCCGGTGTGGCTACGACGAGGAGTGAAAGGTGTGAGAGTAAAACCAGACCAGCTCTCGAGACGCTGTCGTCCGCTTTCTCTGTGTCTCCCTACTCTCACACTCCTTTCTCCTCGCACTTTAGCTCCCGGCCATTTTGCCCTCCCTCCTTCGAAGCTTGGCCACTGCACCTTTTTGCTCTGTTTTCTTTCCTCTTTCATTTCGGGAGGACTCCATCTCACTCACAAGGGCCCCCTGGGAGCAAGGCGTGCTCCCAGGAGGGCCCCGGAGCCCCCGGGCAGGGGACGATGAGTATCGCCAGCCCCCAGAGACATTTTGAGAGCACTTCCCTGCCACGTCGCAGCTACACCTTCATCTAATCGAGTAGAAAAATCAGTCTCGAGAAGTAAAAAGGCAACGCTGCATCATTTTTATCAGAAGATAAAATAGCCCTTGCTTAAAATAAAATGCATGGCCAGAGCAGTAATTTTAGCCTTTTTATACTGGCAGTAGAATCTGAAAATAGCGGAGAATCACAGCACAAGCAGGTAATACCATAAGATGCAATCAGTCTAGGAGAAATCAGGTTATACTCAAATAAAGTTTCATGGCTCTGCACTGGATAATAGCTTCTCATAGGAATAATAAAAACAATTTCCTCTTTCATCACATTTCTAAACCAACTGCAAACCTTCCCAAAAAGACAGAGTTCACTTATTTTTCCATGCATTTTTTTCTGCTAGGAAATTAAGTGAAAATTAATGACAACAGCTAATTCTGTGCACTATTGGTGGTTGAGCAAGAAGCAGTTTTAGAGTTACTTAAGATAATTAGTTGCCCTACAACAGACCCTTATTAAAGCCTTGGTAAAAAATTGGCAGCAACATTTGGTCTGTCTGCCTTGGAGCTGCTTTCTAATTTCTGGGACATAAGCTTTCCCTTCAGCAGGCATGGGGTTGTAAAATATTATTTGTTCAGGACAGAGAGGGCCCCCGTGGCATCGCTGCCGGATGTGTTTTTAGCCTGAAATACAACAGCATGTCCCCATGCTGAGTGGGATACATTCCCCTTCAGCGCAGGTGCCGTCTAGGTCGGCTGCATCGTCCCCTCCATCAGATTTCCTGCTGGCTTATGTGACTAGCTAGCAGAAGCAGGGCTAAAAAATCAGACACACTGGCATGGCCCAGGCTCTGCAGGTGGGATTTGTATCATTAAATGGTGCCGGTGGCATCTATGGAGCACAGCCAGTGTTGCCAGGATAAAGTGACACATGGACAACTCAACTCAGTGCCTCCAGCTTTGCCCAGCTTCACAGGAACCAGCATGGGCTCAGCCTTGTGAGTCCGGCAAGAGCAAACACGCTTTCCAGGCCCCAGATTTGAGAATCGTGGTACCAACTCATGAGATCCCAGCTGAAATTTTTAATTAAAAATAAAAGGAAAAGGAAAGAAAGTTCTTCATCTTCGTCATCACAAAGATAACTGAGGAAACCTGAGGGAAGCTCAGCTTTGCAAACTCACTAGCTATTTGCCGCTTTGGCCATGCAATGATTTTTTTTTTAACTCAGTTTTTGTGCTTGGTTTTGTTCAAGAGGCAGCGAAGCGGGGCGAGCTGTGTGCTTGGCACCCTGGAGACAAGAGCATCTCTGAAATGTCACCCTTGGGCCATGCAACTGTGGTGGGGTCCACGCCTCAGGGGCCAGAGACCCACTGGTGCATTAAGGGAGAGGCTTTTTCTTTTGTTTTGGAGACCTAAAATGTTGAACGACAAGATCCTTGAGCCAAGCCTTGCCACAGACTTTTCTTCTCTCATATATGCCAGAAGCATAGCTGCCTGCTGGAGTTATTGCTCCCCATTAGGCAGCTGGAGGAGGTCAAAGCCAGTAGCCGCTGCACATGGGACGTCTTGTGTCCTCCCCCGGGGCAGAACTGCCTCCGAGACCAATGGAAGATCTTGCACATACAATTCAAAGGGGAAAAATGAATTTTTGGAGTGTGCCTTTTAATCCCATATACACCCCATGTTTGCAATAGTTTTTATTTTAAATCCACAATCCCATGAAACATTTCTGTTCCTTTATTTTTCGTGCTTTTCTCTCAACACTAATGGTATCCTGCAGCTTTACAGATCTGAAATCTCTGCCCTGGGATCTGGAGTCTTTCTGTGGATATCCCTTTTGATTTCATTATTCATTTACTTTTCTTCTTCTGTGTTTGTCTCTGTCTGTCTCCTTCACAGCCCTGTTGTTGAATGAGCTTGGTAAGCGCGCCTTCGTTTTTCTTTTCCATTTTCCAGTTTGTCTGCGTATTTTCGGAAGACAATTGATTTTGTTTGACATTTTTCTTTGCTCGTGACATTCTCTTTTACGGTGGTCAGCACTATTTAAGTAAGCTCAGGTATCTAATGCCACATCTTTCCTTGGAGTAGAGCCCCAAAATCACTAACGTTAACGAGCGGTAACCCGCTGTGGCGAGGAGCATTTTTCAGGAGCGGCGTTGTTACAGCCATAGTAAACCCCCCGACACCCCGAGTTACAAACCTGCACTGTGCAAATTAACCCATCACCTCTTACACTGGCATGACAGAAACAGGATTGCCTGGCGACTTAGGGATGCTTGTGACTGGACAGGAAAGTTGGCCAATTCTTTTTGAAGAGACAGTGCAAACTTTGCCTCCAGTCTTGGAGAGGTTTAGAGCTCACCCAGCCTCTGAATTTCCTTGCTGGTCATCCCCAGGATAGGGTGGCCGGGGAGGGAAGCAAAGCCACCCTCGTTCCCTGAAGCACCCCCAGCCCCAGGGCAGGCTCGCACTGGTTTTACCCGCTCTGCTATATTAGATAGATAAGTGGGGGGGGTTTTTTTTTAGTGGATAGATGGGGGGGGGGGGGGGAGGGGGGGCGCAGCTTGCAGATGTGGGTTGAAAAGCTTGTGTTCAGGTGTCCCTACCCTATCCCTGGGGTGCATGTCGGGGAGCAGCCCCCCATGTCCACAGTCCCCGGCTGTGGGGCAGGGAAGGACCACCACGTCCCTGCGGGCTGCAGGGTGTCTGTGTTGCTGTGCTGATGCTAATCCTCTCTCTCTCTCTCTCTCTCTCTCATTTTTGGTTTCATCTAGGTGGCTTCACCATCACAGGTATGGATTTCTGCTCTCCCCCTGCCCCCCCTTCCCTCCTCTTAATGGCCATATGCTCACCCCGCTCTTTCCTCTTGGTTTCCTCTTTGCTTTTGTTCTGTCCTGGAGGGAAACTCTGGAAGGGTAAGAAGGCACCGTGCCGCGGCCCCGCTGCCCCAGCCGGTCACGCTAACACTGTGTCCTCTCACAGAGTGCTCTGCCTGCCGCACACACCTAACCCCCACCTCGGGGAGGGTGAGCCGTCACCCCTGAAGTGACAGGCAACTCCCCTCCATCCCTTGGAGCAGGGGGTGGTTCTCCACTTGGTCCAGCCTTCCTCTCCCTGCTGCCTGCACAGGAGGTGTGCACAGGGCTCTGCATGGCACGGGGAGCCTGTCCTCACTCCCCAGGCAGCAGCCAGGGTGCCCAAGCACTGTAGGAGGTGCGGGACCCCATGGCTGCTTCAGGCACACTTCCCACCAGCAAGACCCGGCAGCAGGGTTTGCTCATCTGTCATTAGCCAGCTGAGCATCCATCATTAGGCCGAGCACTGCAGGGGGAGAAGGTCCCAGGTCTCACACATTGCAGAGCAGCCCCTCAGGAGCCCTGGAAACAGTAATTCAGACTAACAAGGCTCTGGCCATGAGGCCGTTCCCTTTGACCAGCAGGTGGAGAAAGGCTTTCCCATGGTGTGGTGCTGCCTGTGCAGACGAGGGAGCAACACTAACACTGTGTGAAGTAGGAGTAGAGTTTACTAACCACACGGTGGCAGTTTGCATGGGGCGTACAGTCCCTCCTGCTGATCTCCTGCTGATCGCTTTGATAGGCAAACCTGTCTTCAGGAAGGTCCAGGCTAGAGATCATCCTCTTCCTTGCACCGTGGTCACCATCCAAGGTACCCACAGCGTGACACCTGAGGGCCATGGTGGTCTAACACAGACTGACTGGGGTGTTTGCCTACTGACAGTTTAACTCCTGTCTCCAGCGAATCCAGCCCTTTTTAGCCCTGATGTCCTTCTGCTCATCCCTGGGGTGGACTGTAAGGGAGCTCAGTGGGGTTCTGCGCAGGGACAGTGACAAAAGCCATGCTGCCTGCAGTCCCCATGCCCCAAAGGTTGCACAGATGCCAGTGGAGGTGCAGACCTGCTCCATCGCTCTTGTAGTCTTTCCGTTGCCTCCTCTCTCAGGGTTTGGGGCCAGGCCATGCCCTGTGGATGGCTCCTCACACCTGTATGGCCCAGCACTATTTCCTCCAGCCCCACCATCGCAGCAGGAGTTTCATGCTCTCCTGCTGCCAGCCCCCTCCCCAAGATAAAGCCCTGCTCAGAAGGAGGCAGAGCCAAGATTTCATACCCGTCTCAGCCCTGGGGCTGCTGGCAGCTCTCTGATTGTAACAGGCTGATGGAAATGTCCTGACCATGCCCCGATGCAGACATGGAGAGCTGGGAAATGGAGCAGCCCTAGTGATGATGTGTCCCTTTCCAGCATCCCTGTGGGAGAGGCAGCAGGTACCAGGTGATAAGCTATTCCCCAGCCCTGAGGGTGAACTGGACTCCTTCTGAGGTTGGACAAGTTGCAGGTCTCTTGCTAGCATTTCCCAGCAAAACTACTTTGTCTATTGCTCCATGACCTCCTCCGTCTCAGCTGCTCTGTCACTCATGCTCCCACCCGAAGGCTTCCTGACCTCCCCCTCTGATGGGAAGCCAGCTCCAGAGAGTGACCAGCCGGGCCTGGCTTACCAACGGGCTCTTTGCTTTGCAGAGGAGAACGAGGAAAAGCAGCCACTGACCAGCAAGGAGGAGGAAGAGCGTCGAATCGCGGAGATGGGACGCCCAGTTCTGGGAGAGCACACCAAGCTCGAAGTCATCATTGAAGAATCCTATGAGTTCAAGGTACTGTCCGCGTCCCCTCTCCCTGTTCTTCTTCCCCTCCAGCTGGGGACCCTCCTTTTGGGTTTGCACAGCATTGGCAAGCACATGTTAATGGCATCGCAGCAAAGCGAGGCAGCTCCTGGCATCACAAGGTCTCAGAGCAGGACCAAGGGACATTTTGAAAGGTGGCTGAGCCAAGGCATGATGAAAGGGTGAGGGTCACTCTGCATCCTCTGTCCATTAGCCCACAGCCATGGTCCTTGAGGGGTGATTCCAGACTGTCTGTCCCACTCACAGACTGTTTGTGGTTATTATTATACAAGCACATCAATCTGGTGAGCCTAAGAGCTGACTGGGCTCTGAAATGCTGCAGACTGCTATAAAATATAACCTTGTTCTCACAGTGATGTGCTACACCCAAATCCTACTTACAGGCAGTCTTGAGTGAGCCCCAAGACTGGGATTCCCAGCGCAAAGGGCTGATACCCTAAATGCAAGTAATGGTTGTGAAGCTAAGCTGCCATGAATGCATGTGCCAGACCAAGAGCTGAAAACTGGCCATTTCATTATCTTTTCCATTTTTCTGTAATATAAAAAATAACAGACCACCCTTATTGTGTCGCAGCAGTGGCTGCCTCCCTCCCATGGTTTTGCTGCCCGCTGTCAGTGTGCATCTGAGGCATCACAGCATGCAGGCAGCCCTCAGGCTGCCTGCCCAGGACCATCTCCTACCTGCTGCTGCCGCAGCACCTTCCCTGCTGGCGCTGAGCAGTGCAGAGAGATAGAGCCCAGCTCCGCGAATGGGCCTTGATCAAGTCCCAGTTAGCAGTCCAGTAAAAATTCTTCCCAAGGCATTGGGAACAACACGAGCTGTGGCACCTCAGCAGTATTTGCTGTTAAACCTCCGCTGAGATGGTTCAAACTCCCATCATGAGTAGGTTTCAAAAGGTCTTTTTGAGCGGCAGTAAGGGGAATTGCAACTACTTACATTTGCTTTCACTGCTGGGGCTTAAAATCTACTAAGCTTTTTTCCATAAATGCATGGCTGTAAGCACTAGCGCTGGTGGGTTTTAGCCCAGCATCTCCAGCCCGATAGCCCCTAATTCTCTCCTCTGCATCTCCATCCACAGAACACAGTGGACAAGCTCATTAAGAAGACAAACCTGGCCCTGGTGGTTGGCACAAACAGCTGGAGGGAGCAGTTTATTGAGGCTATTACTGTCAGCGCGGGTGAGTTTGGACCACAGCTCCAGGTGAATTACGATCAACCTCACTCGTGTCTCAGCTTGGCTGTATCAGTAATACAGACCGTAGTGGAGCAGCAGGAGGCAAAACAGGTGGTGAAGTTAGTTACAGCATCTGCATAAATAAGACAGCTGATTAAACCCTTTTGTGAGATCACCTTGTCTGATGTGTAGGAAACCTCCTGCATTAAGTGTGTCTGTAGCACCCAGCAGAGAAACACCCTGGCTGTTACCAGATGGCAGAGGGGAAAAGTCATTTCAATGAGAGAGATTTAAGAGGCAAACGCAGTGTTTAAATTCAGAGCGGCATAAATGATGCTGGTGCGAAGCAGCAGTGCTCCCCGTACTGCTGCAGTGAGGACAATGCAGTAGCGAGGGTGCTGAGCCCTGAAGATGGCCACTGAGTCTCCCTCTCTGTGGGCCAAAATTTGCCCTTGACCCCCTGCTTTCAGGAACTCCTGCTGCTCCAGCCATCTGTGGCTGGAGGTTATGGTTCAGCAGCCCAATAGGTGCAGCAGCATGTGATATCTGTGGTGATATCAGATCATATCTGATCATATCTTCCCTCTCTTGGAGAATTGCCTTTCCCTCAGAAATGCCCTGTTGTACTGTTCTCACAGGCGTCAGTGCCATGTTTACCAGTATGCCCAGTATAGGATATATTAGCATTCCCACATCTGTGGAAGATGAAAGAAACAAGGTCTCCTCTAGATGTGGTTTTAACAGCTGGAGACACTATAACTCAGTGGCTGGATGTTACAACCTCACAGCCCAGCCTGGGCTGCGTGGGTGCACACATTAGGGCAAAATCAACCAGGTTAATTTAAATCACTGGGGAAGGCAATTTGAGCTCATCTGGCTAATTGTGCATTGAAATGCATGGGGGAACACTCACACTTCCTACCTCGAGCTCTGCTGTACAGGGTAACCTCTGCCCAGCACAAAGTAATTAAAAGTGATGGCCATACCATTTACCCTCCACCTCTGAAAATGAGGACAGGACATTGTGCAGCAGCTATCTCCTCAGATTGTGATCCCTCCTCCTGTAGCACGGTTATTCTTAGAGCCTCCAGCCAAGAGCCTCCCATTATTTCGGATACAGCATGAACATATCATGCAAGACAGTCCTTGCTGCAGGTTTTGTAGCTAATATGGCTAAACTAATCTATGCCAGAATCAATTATTTAATTGCATCCCATATTAAAGCAAAGATAATCACTAGTACTTGGATCCCATCTCTGTGACACATGTAAAGACTGCAGTTATGTGAAAGCCTCGTTGCCACCATGTCTTGAATATATAGCCACCATCAATGCTAACAAGATGATTAACAAACATTTAATAAATGTGGCATATTTTGGTGGACATGAGCTGTCCCTTGCAGTCAGGGAACAGTAGTTTGTCTCTGAGCTCTGGACCTACTTTTTTTTGCCAGGTTTTAGCTCCTCAAGCTTTGTGCCGAGCAAGTTAAAATGCCTCAAACATTGGAGTTTGGGTTTGAGTTTTTCCCTGTAGCCCACCATGGAGAGCAGGTGAAAGTCACACACTTCAAAATGTAACATCCCATCTGAGAAAAGAAACATTAAAATGCCATTTCCCACCCAATGAGCAACTGGTGGTAATGTTAGCAGGGAGGCTGAGCGATGGAGCAGCAGGAGGTCAGGTCTGTGGAAGGGCACTGCAGGTGCAGGCAAGACTGTGCCACACCATGCCGTGCCATCCCATGCTGTCCACAGCGCTGAGCTGGAGCCTCTCACCCGTAGCTGCCTTCAGAGTGCACCCAACAGCCCATAAAGTTTCTTCCACAGCAAAAACATCCTGGGGTTTGTGAGCCTGTTCCTGAATGCACCCCTGGGTCACCATCCGACCTCACTCTGCGTTTCAAGTCACCTTCACAGGATCTGGCCAGCTCTTCGAAAGAGAGACATTATTGCTGCTTAACAAAATGATAGACAGATCTGGATGAGTGTCATGACAGTGGCACTCATGGTCATTTTTCAGTCTGTTTTATCATATCCGTAAAGATTTAGATCCATGACAGTCCTGTTGCCATGCAGCTTGGGAGAGGATTAAAATACCTGCTGCAAAATTACAGTGTGAGGATAGCAGAGTGTATCCTGCCAGTACCAACCTTTGTGCAACGAGCAAAAACAAACAGGCCAGCATAGGCTTCCCAGGCTGAAAAACTGTTCCTTATCTCCACGACAATGCACAAGAATAGGGTATTTAAATCTGCCAAAATAATAACACCATGCCACTGATGAGCTACTATTTCTGCCATAGTGAGTTTGAAGCTTTAAAGCCAAGCAACACATAATTTTCCATCAAGTTACTGTAGAGACATCGTTTCCCACTGCCTCTATCTTATATGTTGATCTTGATCTGCAAAGAAGCTTTGAAGACAAAAAATGTGTGCAAAGTTGCACCCCAACGGGGTGCTGAGTAGGACTTTTCCCTGGTTGATCATGGCTTTATTTAGCCAAATATTGAAAACCTCCAAAGATGATGTCCATCAACCAGGGTATGTGTCCCAGGGCTGCACCACCCTCCTGGAGGAGACATTTCTCCTGATGTTACCATCCAAGCTGCAGTTTGTGGCTGTTGCCCCTTGTTGTATCACTTGTCAGCACAGAGGGGAGTTTCACTCCATCCTCTCTGTACATGCCCTCCAAGTCGCTGTAGGCTGTTCCTTGGTCCCCTCCATCCTCCTCTTCTCCTGATTCACCAAGCCAGCTCCTTCCACCTCTCCCCCATAGACAACATCCTCCAGGCTCCAATCATCTTGGTGGCTCCACTGAATCCCCTCCAGCTTCACCCCAGCCCTCATCTGGGGTGCCATATCCCCTGTGTACAGACAGATAGCTGCATTAGAGGTTCCCTCCTGCCTTGCTCTCACAGGCTCCATCACTACCCTCTGCCCTACAGCTGCATCTTTGCTGAGAGCCCCAAGGATGCCAGCAGAGTGCAAGGTTTACATGTGCTGGAGCTGGGCAAAACCAAGAGCAGGTTGACTCCCCTTACAGGTTACCAAATCTCTTGAGGGTGATGACAATCTGGGTGATCCCTGGGCCTTTTCCTTTTCTTGCTCCTGTGTGCTGCGTGCGCTCTCTGCAGGACCACAAAGAGGAATAGCCAAGAGGTGAAACTTCAGTGCACAGGGTTTGGCCTCCCCTTTCCCAGGAAGAATGCCATGTCTTGATCCCTCAATTGGCTTTTCGTCACCACCTTTGCGATGAGGCAGAAAGCAATTATTGTTATGAGCAGCAACAGAGCAAGCAGCTCACCAGCAGCTTCCCTCAGTAACCCCGTTGTCATGGCACAGAGCCATCATTCAAACATGGGGTTTATTGATACCCATGTATTGGTACACAGCGTACAGCAAGACCATTTTATTCTCCCTGTGGGATGCTTTATACATTTTGTTATTCAATCAAACATTCACATTGTGGAGGAAGATGTGGAAGGAGGAACGTTCACCCTGGCCAGCAGTGGGGCAGATAAAACCAGCATGGTCTCAATCAAAAGCTTATGCCAGCCTGATCAGTACTGTGGCTGCCAGGACAAGCAGTTTTTCCCAGGCACAGAGCCATCATCCCCTTTAACCCAGTGTCTGGCGAGGTGGGACCTTGTCCCCTTGCCCACTGCAGTGGAGCAGAGCAGAGGCTCAGTTTTCACTGGATGCTTTTGGCTGCTCTGGGACTTGGCCCCTTTTTTCTGCTATCCCAAGGCGTCCTCCTGGGAAGGAGACCCAGGCTCACTCACGCCATCTGACAGGGATGGACTGCACATTGTGTCCTCCCCTTGGTAAGAAGCTTCTGCCAACAGCCGTGCAGGGGGATCTGGTGGTCCACATCCTTGGAGGGAAAATAATGCATCAAAGACAATGACAAATCACCAACCCGAGTGCAAGGGATGTCTTTAACACAACTCACAATGGCTTTGGAATCCCCGATGTCTATGACTTAGAAACCCATCCTTGTTCCTTGAGGGCAGAAGGAAGGCTCCCACTGATTTCACTGGGAAAGTGTCACTTCCCCTTCATGCCTGGGGGTGGTTTGAGTGCGAGCTGGAAGAGTTTTTGACTGTGCCACAACCCTGGCGTTGTGCACTGTGCCAGGCTGGGGGAGCTCCGCATTCTCCATGCAGCCCACCCAGAGGACAGGCTGGCTGGTGGGCTCGCAAGATGCCTCGTCAGAGCTGCTGGAGTCAGACAGGAGGTCACCAGCCCTGAGGGACTCAATGGCAGGGTCAATCCCACATGATGGGGACTCCCTGGAGGCTGGATGTCAAGTGGCTTTGGAGAGACAGGTGAGGTGCCGACACCTGGAGCAGGGAAGGGAGAAACCAAGACACCTGCCTGGATCCCCATGACCTTGCCAGGACTGACAAGATGAAGATGTGCCAGAGGAAAGGGCCGAGGAGCCACGGGAGGGGGCCAGGACAGTCCGACGTCTGCTGAGCTCTTTCCCTGCGACCCACAGGAGAGCTTCTGGGCACGAGCCAGCCTGCATGTCCAGGGGGCATGGCTGTGGATGCATAACTCCCCAAGAGCCTTTGGGGGCATGCAGCAACTGGCACTTGGGGTCTGAGAGCCCCCGGGACATCAGGCAGGATGGGCACATGGACTCACATCCCCAGCTCCCCATCTGTGCTGGAGACCCAGGTCCTGCAGGTGCTGCTGGGGCCACAGCTGTGAGCAGCAGTGCACTGTGCAGGGCTGAGCACTCAGCACAGCACCAGGATAGCCAGGGTCCGACCCACAAAATGTGCCTGGTGAGCAGAGATAGGGCCAGGACTGCTGGCCAGCTCACGCTGGGAAAATGACCACTGCAAGGCATTAACAACAGATTGGTGAGAAGTGAAGTACTGACCTGGATCAGGGACAGAAAATAAAGAGAAGGAAAGTGCATTTTTGCTGTGACAAATGATGCCACATAGCTGGCTCATGGTCTGGGGTGCTTGACAGCTACCTGGAAGGGGTGCAAATGGGAAAGAGTTTTCATGTGCAGGGGGTGCCCACTGACTTTGGTTAGATCAGACTGAAAGGAATGGGCAGCCAGAGCTCATAGGGAGGCACGTGAAGGGGCAGGGAAATGCAACAGGGAAGGACAGTCAGCTGTGATGGACCAGGGAGGTTTTAGGGCAGGTATTCTTGATGGCTGGATCCTGGTTTGCAGAAAAGGTGAAGCACCAGAGCTAGCAGCTCAGCAGCCACCAAAACCAGACATCTTTCCAGAGAGCTGGAAGCAATCGCAGGTGCTTGTGAAAAGCGGCTCAAAAAGAGCTTCCTTAGGGGAGTCCCCGTGAGGCACGTGTTGCTCTTGATAGGTTCGCTCTCCCCGATCGGCTTCAGCCAGCATTAGGCCAGTCATTTCCCACGTCTTAGAATCATAGAATCATTAAGGTTGGAAAAGACCTCTAAGATCATCGAGTCCAACCGTCAACCCAAC